ATTCAGGGCGACAGCCATGCGTTGTTGGCGCGAGGACAGCAGCCGTATCCACCCCCGCGAGAGCACTCGGCACCTCCCCCGGGACAATATGGCGACGGCCAAACATATTGGCAACCTCCGCCAGGGCAATATGGTGTCCCACCTGTTGGACGGGATGGTTTCCCTCCGATGCCACCACCTGGACAATTTTCAGCGCCCCCCGGGCAGTACTCTGGACAGTACTCGATACCAGGCCCACCTCAATATCCTCCACCACCAGGTCTGCCGCATTATGCGCCACCACCACCTCATGCATACACATTCCAAGCTTATCCAACCGACGGATACCAACCACCACCACCAACAGGCGCTTACCAACCACCACCTGGTGCGTACCAGCCGCCTCCGACCAGCGAATATCAGCCACCTACAAACTCGTACCAGGCGCCATATACAGCACCACCTCCCGTGCAAGCGCAATCGTCGCAAGCGGCCAACCTCGAGCCCCCAAGCCCCGGGCTCGTCCGTCGAAGCACCGTCAGCTTTGCGCAGCAGGTCATGCAACAAAACACGACCCAACTCGACACAAAGAAGGAGCTCAGTAAGCGCGAGAAGAAGAAGAAGCACAGCAAAATAGACGAGGAGGACGAGGAGGCGGAGTCTGGTGGCGAGTCAAAGAAGAAGGGAGGATTCTTCTCTCAGCTCTTCAAGTGAACAACATCCTTGTCCGCCTCACCCGGGATGTGGCTATCTTGCGGTGCGTGTGAGCTGTTTTGTATTTCATAGTAACGATTGACGATAACAATGAGCGGAAAGAGAGAGCATGGCTATCCTGTGGTGGTGAGGGTAGGAAGCAAGGGTGTGGCGACATCACTGGCTTCTGGAGTCGGATGCATCTGAAACTACCTTAGATTAAAAGATTAAACTTGATAAATGGCATACACTTTCTTCTAAATGGCAGTTTCAAGGTCCAGGGCCGTAACGGTAAGCCACTGTTTAAAGAATCACAACACTTGATTTGCCGTGTTATCATGGTCGTCATGGTCTGCAAACTTGCAAATGAACTCTCACTCTACCGTCATATCTCTCTGAACCACGATCCTGCGATGTCTCGCCATATCCTGACGAGTTGAGGTAAGAGCTGTTCTTCTTGGCTCAGGAGAAGAGGGGGGCGACAGTTGGAAGAACACTTCAGAGGATGGCGATTCCCGCTTGTAGCGTTGACTATAGGATTGTCTTGGCTGGGTCGTCTTCGTTGGCTGTTGGTCAATATTGTACTCAGCAGTATGATGATTGAGAACCTAATTTGCAGGTGAATTTTTCCCTTGATTCAAATGTGTTCACCAGCAGCTTGAGAAGTTAAGCTTCGGGGAGGTTTGATTAAACCATATCAGAAATATCAAAAGCCCACCGACGCTTTCTCGACAAGGATGGAGCAGAATGGTCCGGCTTAGGCTGTTAAGACTCGCTGACCTGACTCTTTATTGTCGCTCTACTCCTCTTCAGCCGGTCTAAGTGACACTGAATGCTGTGACTACCTGGCGAGTAATAAGCACTCGCGCCGGCACGTCTACGGACTACGTTGCATGGTCTTTGTCGTTTGTCCCAAGATTAACACATTGAAGGGAAGTATTTGGGAGTTTACAAGACGGAGTAGGGGAAACCCTCATCCATAATCTTCAGAGAGGTTTATCGCGGCATATGGACGGCACTTGGGAACTGAGATCTTTTCTGATTTGAGTTTGCCTTGAACCTTCCACGAGCTTTGAATCTGGTTTGTCTTTTTGACTACTCTACGTTACGCTTGATCTGGCCACAACCAGGTGGGCGCCGTAATGGGCTATACAAGGTCGGCTAAGGTGTAACTAGAAACAGCGAATACGTGGATGGAAACCTAATATCACGATACCTGCACTTGCATGAGAGGTAGTATGATGGTAAAGGTTTGATTCTCTCTGTCTACAAGATTCCTTAACGGACCTGGAGTTCCCATGAGCTTCCATCGATTTCGCCTCGCCAAACCTAGTGACAATCTCTGGGCGTTGGATACGTCTGCGCCACTCGCTGGAACTGCACCGCCTTCTTCATCACCATCCCCTCACTGAGACCGCCGACCTCCCGCCTGAAAATGTCCTGCCACGGCGTGTGGCTCGGCGGGATGGGGTAGCCGCCCTTGGCCTCGAGCTCCCTGCGGCGCGCGTCCAGCTCCTCCGCCGGGACCAGTATGTCCACCCGGCGTTTCGTCAGGTCGACCCGCAGCCGGTCGCCGTCGCGTATCAGGGCGAGGTTCCCGCCGTCTGCGGCCTCCGGCGTCGCGTTGAGGATCGACGGGGTGCCCGACGTCCCCGACTGTCGTCCGTCTCCGATGCACGGCAGCTCCCGCACGCCCTGCTTGAGTAGCCGTCCCGGCGCGTGCATGTTGACCACCTCGGCCGCTCCGGGGTATCCGAGGGGGCCGGTGCCGCGCATGACGAGGATGGTCCGGCTGTCGATGGGTGCTGTTTCCAACCGCGCCTGGTAGTCTTCCGGTCCGTCGAATACCGCGAGGGGACCTTCAAAGGCGTTAGGGTCGTCTGGGTTCTCGAGGAATATTCTACGGAATTCCTGCGAGATGACTGACGTCTTCATGACGGCTGAATCGAATAGTGTGCCAGTCATATGCAGGAATCCCGCATCCTGGATCATGGGATCGGAGAAGGGTTTGATGGTCTGCCGATCCCAGCTGTGTTTCCCCTTGACTGCGTCGCCCATTGTGCCACCCGTACAGATGAGCGCACCTGGATGCGGTAGTTTCCCCGCCTCTAACAACTCGGCCATGACGGCGGGCAGTCCCCCAGCACGGTAGTAGTCCTCGCTCAGCATCTCGGCCGCCGGCTGCATGTTTACAAGCAGCGGGATCGAGAAACCGATACGATCCCAGTCGTCGAGGTCCAGCGGCACGCCGATATGTTTCGCAATGGCATTCAGGTGGATGGGGGCGTTGGTGCTCCCGCCAATCGCGGTGTTGGCAACGATTGCGTTCTCGAATGCCTCGCGGGTGAGGATATCCGAGGGTTTGCGGTCGTTCTTGACCATCTCCACGATCCGCTCACCGGTCTCGTATGCCATCTGGCCTCTCTGGCGGTACGCGGCTGGGATGGCAGCGGATCCGGGAAGGGCCATCCCCAGAGCCTCGGCCAGCGCGTTCATCGTCGAGGCGGTTCCCATGGTGTTGCAGTGGCCGACGGAGGGGCTGCCACTGGTCACCATGTCCACCATCTCTTCGTCGTTGATCCTGCCTGCAGAATGCAGCTCACGCGCCTCCCAGGTGATGGTTCCGGTCCCGATGCGTTTCCCGTTGAGCCAGCCGTTGAGCATCGGGCCTACGTTCAGACAGATGGCCGGGATGTTGATGGTCGATGCCGCCATCAGCGCTGCCGGAGTCGTCTTGTCGCATCCTGTCAGGAGCACGACGCCGTCAAAGGGGTATGCGTAGAGGAGCTCAACGAGAGTCAGGTACGACAGGTTCCGGTCGATGGTCGCCGTGGGCATCCTCGTCGTCTCCTGGATGGGATGCGTCGGGAACTCGAACGCAATGGCACCGGCAGCTCGAATGCCCTCTCGGACCCGCTTTGCCAGCTCCAGGTGATGCCTGTTGCATGGCGCAATATCCGAGCCGGACTGTGCAATGCCGATGATGGGCTTCCCGGAGGTGAGCTCTTCCTTGGTCAGCCCGTAGTTGAGGTAGCGGTCGATGTAGATGTTGTGCATGCCACGCTCGTCCGTACGCTGGAACCAGTGTGCAGAGCGGTACCTCTTCTTCTCCTTCTTGGGAGAAGCGGTGTCAGTGGGAGTCAGCTTCTTGAGCTTTTCCTCCACCTCCCGGGTCCTCGCGCGCAACGAGTCCAGCTCCTTCTGGTAGTCCTCGATGTCGACGAGGCTCCCATCCTCGCAATTGCCGCAGCTGCGCGTACAGTCTGTCTCGCAGGGCATGATGTGAAGCTCAGGTTGAGTGAGGTTGTGTGCTTGCTTGCTTGCTTACGAGATAGTAGCTGTTAGTGGGTAGGCATGTCACACTGGTGCCCTCCTTATTGTTAATGCGAGAGAGGTGGTAGGCAGGAACTGGAACCACAGATAAGGGAGCCCATAAATGATATTGACTCCGGCAGGGATGGCGAGGGAAATGTTTCCGAGGAGGAGGGCCCCCAAGAGATACGGGAACAAGAACAGGGACCGCCCTCTCGCGTCGCGTCGGCACCGGTTTTCCCCTTTAGGTTACAGCTCTGAGTCTACTGCACATGCAGTTTATGCAGCTCGTAGTGGCCTCTTGGATGGGGACGATAAAGAGCCCGGACACTCACAGGCCGGCTCGTCCCCAGAGACTGTCCGTCCCTCCCAGCTGGTAGAACCTCTGGGGAACCGATCACAGTTGCCATACTCGGGTTGGTGAGTGTCGTCGATCAGCCAGCCCAGTGCCGACTCCGGAAGCGGCGTAACCTCCGAGCGTTTGAGACGAGGTGCCATTCCAGCGGGGCCCAGGCGCATGGCAAGGAACCAGAGCGTTCGGGACTCCAATTCCAGGTCGGTTGATGACCGAGAGCTGGCCCTGCGGGGGTTGCTTAATCATTCAGCAGCTTCTCGTTGGCTGCATGTATTGCCCCCTCTTCCCTCTCTTCACAGTCTCTCCTCTCAATCATGCAGCCCCCAGCACATAAACTAGGCACACGCTGACGAATAGAATAAGGGGATGCAGGCCACATGACAGCGGAAATCAGGACAACAGGGTCCTTGTCTAAGATAGACGGGAAGACCGTTTAGCTCGCCCGGCCTCGCCCATTTGCTCCCCCCGAGAATGATATCCCGGCAGGATACACAAAACATCACCCATGACGTGACTCAGCGACCAGGAGCCCAACGAAAAATGCATGATGCGATATGGTATGATGAGATGCAAGGTTTGGCTAAACTACTACGTGGAATTCCGTCATCTTTCTCACCCCTCCCTCCCTCCCTCCTACAGCTTGATGGATGGATGGATGCACCTAGGCCATAATCACAAGCTTTTTCGTCGGGTTCAGGCCCAGCCAATCCTCCTCGCGAATCACCTTTCTCGGCGACGTTACGTTGACCTTGTAGCACATGCCGCCTTCCATCTCGACCAGCATCAACCTCATCCCTCCCGCATCCCTCCCATTCGCCTCCTCGCAGGCCGCGATGATAACGAACGGGTGGAGGGCGCCATGCAGCTCAACAAAATATTCGGGGAGAGATATGCTGGTCATCTGACGCTTGGTTTGAGGGTGTAGGACGCGGAACTCGCGGATTGGCGTGGAAGATAGCCCATGTGGTGCTTGGAGAGATAGGAAGGCGAGGCTGGTGTAGAAGGCGATGAGACCTGGGGGGATCCCTCGAGGTGCTGCGACCATCTGCGCGTGTCTGGACTGCATCTTGTTTAATTCGACGTTGAAGTGGGATCGTAAATCGGGGTGTAGCCAGCTATTGGGATCCGTCTCCTCGCCGACAGGTGAGGACATTGGTTCTATGGCGTCGCTGCGAAACTTGAAGAATTGTATCAGGCCTTCGGGGCTTCCCAAGGACGGTATCGGCTCGATCCCGGCGTCCGCTTGCTCTCTGGTGTATATCCATCCCGTCCACGACCAGGATGGAAAGCCTGGCCTCCGTGCACAGTACATGTCCCAGAACCAACACCCTCCAACAACTTGCGCAAAGTGATGTTCTGGGATGCCGTGATAGATTGGCCCAACAAGATCCTCCACCATGCCTGAGATGCCTGCAAACGCATTCTCCATGTCTTCGGCACGAGTCAGCGTTCTCTGCGTATACTGTTTGACAATGCTTCTGAACATCTTCACTTTCTCTTGTGCAGAAGCATTGGCATTTCCCATGGTTCGAGGGAGAGAGTTGAGCCCGCATGATAATCTGGGGATATCGAAATCCTCGAGATGGATGTCTTCTCTCCAAACAGCAGTGGGACAGGAGAAGACCACCAAGCCCGGGAGAAATATAACCGAACGTAGAGAGCACATTTCTTCCTGGAATGTCCAGCCTCTGGTTCTCCATGTCGACGCCTCGAGTATGTACTTGGGCTGCTTCGGCAGCTTGGCGACAGATGTACCCAGGATAGCAACAAGCATATCCTCCCTATCACCATACTGACTCACCCCGGAGAGGCCTTGAGAGCAGTCCGTGCTATCCGCCGCAACTAAAGTAGCTTCCGCCTGGTGATAGATTAGATACATTTGATTGATCTGCTCGTCTCGTAGCTTAGCGTCGTCCTCGATGATACATAAAGCATCGACCCAGAGATACCTGACACCGGCTTCTCTTGTTAAAGTGATGGCGTCCCTGATCTTCTGCGGTATTCCAGTTCCGAGCAGGACACCGTTTGCCTGCCAGGCCTTGAGATTTTTGGCTAGTAGGATCGGCTGCGCAACATTTCCCCACACGTAGCTGAGGGCATAGTACAACGGCGGAGGGCCATCTGGGATCGGGGTGATGCAGTATCTTTCAGTATCAACCAATAAAAGATTTGTCGTCTGCTTTGACGACGGCTGTTTCTGGCAAGCCTCGCCATGGTTATATCGGCACTTTGTGATCCAGCTCTTCATCAGTTCGACGTTGAATTTGGAACCGGTCTGGCGGGCGAAGCCGAACTTATGATCATGCACCGGGATGAACAAGTTCACATCTTTCTCAGGCTGCCGATAGGCTGGTCTGAGCACATTTGGAGTTCTCTTCACAAGCTCACCTGATGATGAGAAGTGCGGTACGTTGCTGGGTGGCTTCGGGTCCATCTCGTACTCTTGTAAGATCAAACCCTTCCAAGGCCCCTCGTTACTTAGCTGGACTCGAATTTGCTGAATACCGTTCGGAGACAGCCGCGTGCTGACGTTCGGTAGATTGTGATTTTTCACTAATTCTCTTTTTCCTTGGAGCCCGAGGTTCTCGAAACGATCCAGTAATCTGCCCGAGACTGTTGGATCTGAAATTGAAACACAGACTGGGCATAACTCTGACTCTGGGTGGCTGCGTAGAAAAGGTTCCATGTGGCCAATGATTCGATGACAATAGGGCAACTTCTTCTTGAGACTTTGGGATGCCGCTTCTGGATGAACGCTCCTCGCACTGTCCAAACCATACAAGAACTCATAGCAAAGCAAACCCGCGTTGTGAGTGTTGACATCTCGCAGTTCATTGTTACTGCAGACTAGACACCGGCCCTTATCATGATGATGTTCTCCCGACTCATTGTCAATCCCTTCATGGACGACAGGGACGTCGTCTTGCAGCTCTTCGTCGAACTCTGCCTGCTGAATGATGTCCTTGAGTGTCTGATAGCTTATGACGAACGATCTGGAAAACAGTCAGCTTGGTCTCTTGAGCTCGTCTATGGCTAGCTCGCTGACGTTATATCACGAATCCGCCCTTTGTACATGTAGTCGTCGAGTCGATCCACCTCGCCCTTCATGAATGAACAAAATTCGCAGCCAGAGGGGTCCGCTGAGTAGTCCCAGGTACATAATACAGCGTCGTCCTCTTTTTGACACGTATTGGCCCAGTCTCTGAGATAATGGGCGAGCGCCGTTGATGAATGACTTGAGCAGAGTTTCTCATCGTCGCGCGCACTGGAAGCGCCTCCCTGGATTAGCGACTCAGGCATGATGGCAGTGACCCAATTCTTTTTACCCAATGAAGTAATAGGGCACTGAACAGGTCTCTGTGAGAAAGACGGCCGCGGTTTTAGGGCTCAGAGCGAGCTTTGTGCCTTTCATACGGCAATAACTGCTTTGCCCTCAGGGGCGGGGAAGCTCAGCCAACAACTAAGTGGTCTGAGCCCTGCCACAGCGGATACATCGAACCCTTCCAATCAGAGGCTGGACGAACTGTCTTGATTCATCAGCCAAGTCAGCCAAGGCTGAATGCCCATGATACGCCGCTTCCCTGGCTATTCTCATGTCAGCAACAGGCTTGTGTATGCTTTCCGTGAGCTTGTGATGAAAATTATTGAGATAAATGCCTAATTGGAAGTTCAACCTCATCGTTCCAGTTCCAACTGATCTATATTATGTCTTTATTTGCTCCCCCATATTCAACCCTCGGTCTGCCTACATCGCCTGTGCCTTAATATTCTCACCATCGTCACACCTTCCCTCACTTTGTCCCTTCCCCTTTCTCGCAATGTCCCAAATAGCATCTAACACTTCCTGTCCTTCAGGAGAAGCCTTCATTTTCTCCTCATAGACGCTGCCACGCTCCGTGTCGAAAAAGTCCCGCATCGCCTGGGCGACGAAATTCGGCTCCGTCTGCTCCATTGCCGCCCACTGCTCCTCCATCCAAGCCTCAGGATCTATCCTCTTACCGTCCTCTGCGCCCAAAACGGCACTGATCAACTGCCTTGATAGCTTGACGCATCTCCAGCCGAGAGCGCTTGTCAGCATCCCAACCGCCATGGCGATCGTGCGTGGGATTTCCAGACCCCAGGGTTGGATCATCTTATCCAAAAGCCACCTATCCAGCTTTTTGACTCTTCCAAAGGATCCCGGATACTCTCTACTTTTTCGTTCAATGATCTCGTTGAGCCGGACATGCGTTTGATGCTGAGCTTTCCAAGGAACGTGTGCTTGCCAGAGATACGGGTCGCTCGTGACGCTCTTCATCTGGTTGAAGGGGGTCGGGAAAACACCAGGCGCAAGTGACACCCCCCCGTGTCTGCCCATGGGAAACTCGAGGATGCGCGCCGTGACTGGGGTGTAGCCTGCAACGGCCTCCCTCGCCTTCTCGTGCTCACCCGACCAGAGGTCCACCTTCTCCGTCGTGAAGTGAATGAGCGCAGGGCCTCTTGTCTTCCAGATGTCGCAGAGGAACGAGTCGGGACACGTGACGTAGTGGAAGCTTGCATTGCAGGGCGCCGGGTTTGCGTAGTGGTACTGGAGGAGCTCGTTGAACGCACTGTCCCAGGGGTTGAAGAACAGCTCGCGAATGTGCAGGATGTTGTCTGAGGCGTAGACCCAGTGGTGCCAGCACGCGCCCTCGTCCTCCCCATCTGTTTTCCTGTACAGTGAGTTCGGAAAGGCAAATTGGTTCAATGGCACGTCGTTCTCCTCAAAGACGGGGGAAACGTCAAACCGCTCCAGGCCGAGCTTCGTCCACCAGTTGGTAGGATCACGGAGCTGGGGGACCCAATATGGCGCGACTCCATGGTTGTGAATGTCCGGCACACCAGGTATGGAGAACTGATCCAACTCCCGTACGGACAGTATGCTTTGTTCGAGATGCCTCATAGAGGCAAAATATTGCCGAGTCTCATAGTCGGCCAGAAGCAGGCCTACAATGCCCCCAAACCCAACGTAGAAAAGAGTCAATGGCAGTGTGACGATGAAGCCACGTCGAAGGAAGATTCTGACCCATCGGAATAACGTCCGGATGAGTTTAAAAGGACTCCACATGGCGGGTGAAGGGCTCGCCTGCTGCGATATTTTTGATGATTTTGATCGTCATGAATAAGGAGGTAAGAATTTCAACGTTTTCAGGCCGTGCAAACTTGTCGGGATTTAACCCTACAGGCCCCTGACATCAACAAGCCAAGGGCTACCAAAGTGCCAATTTCACTGCCAAGGTGGCACCGAGATTTGAATACCTGAGTCCCCACTGTTCCTATAGAGGTCTGTAAGTCACGATTAACTCTGATTCTTTATCCATGAAAATCTGTGAATAGACGCCTTTTATATCTTGCCTCGGCGGGCGATAGAAGGTGAAAATTATCCTATGGCATAAACCCACTCTGAAACCCTTTTCGGGTGGTTTCAAAGATCCGTATTGAGGTCCATCGTTAGCACTCAGTAATAGACCACTTATGATTTTAATCCGATGGGTCATGGCCGGAGCAAAGTGTTTTCTTGGAGCATGAAATCCAAATTTCAGTCTGGTGTTTCCAGCCGCAAAGTATTATCTGAGGCAATAATCCATGGCAACTTGGCGCAGGATGAGCAATTTCATACTTATGTGTACACAAAACAGACTAAATATATGTACGACGAATTCATTTGATTTACTTGAATGCAGCTATATACAATTTCATCAGGAGACTATAGGTGAGTAAAAACAAAGAATAATGAAACAGCCTTCTGAAAGAACAACTGGGAGAGCATTCCAAATCTCCGAGACACACCAAGATCAGCAGCAATATATTGATTTTTAAGATATCTGACATGAAAAAGGAAGTCCGGTTGGTATTTGCATCAGGCTCCGATGAATGGTTGGAGATCACTGAGAAGTTGTTGATAAGCGGTGCCTGAAGGTGGCTCCAAGTTGAACATGTAATCTCCCCACCAGGAACCAGCAGCCCACCAGAGCCAGCCCTTCCAGACATCAGAGTTGTCGAGGAGATATTGCAGTTCACCGACTACCGCCTCCCTGCACACGTCATTGACAGCTCCAGCAGTCTCACCCAGAATGCCGATTTTGTTGTTGTCCTTCAGCCACTGCGTCGCTTCCTTGACACGCTCAACTCCGATTGTGGCGGAGACACACTCCGTGTGTGTTCCGGAGGAGTCCGAGTCAAGATACTGGTGCATTTCGTATACTAGAAGGTTCTGGGGGTCCGTTAAATCCTTGAGGCTGTCGCCGTTGCCGCTTGAGACCCAAGACCAGGCGCCACTCCAAGCATTGCCTTCGACAAAGATGTATTGAGAGGTAGCTCCAGCTCCCCGGATAGCGTCGATAGCGGCTTGGTTGAGGTCCCTCACAAGCGAGTTTTCCATGTCATGGTACTCATTGTTGGTGTCGAAAACTACCTTGCTATTGCTGGAAAAGCGGCTTGCCAGCGTCTTCCAAAACGCGCCAAAACCATCAACATCTGTGATGATGTTGCCATAGTAGCGACCATAGTTGTGTAGATCAATCACAGCATACCAACCCCTGTTGTTAAATTCATTAGAATGGGACTTTTCACCATGCAATAGACAGTCCTCTGTGTACTTACTTGCCAGTGACATGATCGACAACAGTCTGGAGACCTTCGAAATAGGTTTCATTAATGGAGCCGGTGAGAGTGTCTGGAACGAGTCTCTCCATCCGTGTTGCAATTCGGAAGGTGTTCATGCCGGCGGAACCAAGTGTCTAGAAGAACAGGTGTGAGCCTGGAGCGTTTTCTTGTTTAGAGAGAGGACTTACATCAATCGCACCAGTTTCCGGCCAGATGTAATGTTCTCCCAATCTGCCCGGGAAAACAGTTTCACCAAACTCGGCACCAGCTTCATTGGTACCGGTGAAGGTGAATTGTGCCCCAGAAACGCTGGAAACACCGGCGGCCGCAAGGGCGAGAAGATGGTTTTGGTATCGCATCGCTGATAGTCCTTTTGGCTAGTTTCGACTTGATCTGGATTTTATTTTCGTCTTCTACAACATTGGAAGGACTTTGTCTAGTTTTATACGTTAGCTTTCCTTGTGAAACTTGGGACTTCTGAATACGGAGGACGAGGCTCCGGGGCTACCACTGCTGCAGTGTCGATCAAACCTCTAACATCGGCACGTACGGTCCGCCACACCCATGGCTCGACGTTTATGAAACAGGGGCTCTGCCCCAGACGGAACATTAAATGTCCATATCACTACAGTATCCATTACGTAGCCTAGCGCTAGTCAAGTGACGAATAGTTGCTGTGTGCATTGAACACAGATCCTTGCTGAAATTGGAAGGGGAGATCATGAGATTTTGGCTCCGACGGCGTCTCAGTAATATTCCCGCATGTTACCATGAATGGGCTAATTCTTTAGAGTACGTCATCTTGCTTTTATGTTCTGATAAATCAAGTCATAGATGGAATAGTATCCGCCAAGACGGCCCGGATCGTTCATGAGAAACGGAAGCCCCCTATATAACATGTTCGAAGAATCACATCCAACGGGAAAGGAACGCCCGATCCGTTCTAGTAATGATTTTCACACCTTGATCTCTTCTACCAATCTAGAATTCATTGATTGATTCTGTAGCTTGTTTCATATGTCTCCCGTTATTGGTTACTCTGAGAAAGACTAGGAGTCGTACCTTGTTACTGAAAAAGCTATCTCTTTATTCATCGTCTCCTATCATCCCACTAATAATTAGCTGATAATTCGCAATGCTGCGGGATTGACGCAAGTGAAAGGTTTCACGCCTCGTCAACTTATTTTGGGCCTATCTACGGCAAGGGTAACGTTACTTGTGAATAGTTCCTGGCTGTGTAGCATTTAAGAGTTCACGGAAGGGAAGGTAAAATATAACCCACCTGCTCAACTAGCACAAGATACTTGGCTGTCCCTCACACATCACCAACAGTTTCTCTCGCACAATTCATGGAAATTTCGGGAATATGGGAGTTTAATTAATAGAATTGTTCACCACATTTCCTGTTGGTCGGATGATATCAAGCCAATCATCACACGCTGATTAGCCCCGAATTCCCGTTGACTTGTGGCTGTTTCCGTAGTGTCACCATTGATTAATGGTCATAAAAGCATGCATAGAACCTTCTATTTGTGGTAACTGATACCATTTCATTGCTTCTATGTCACCAGACTCTAGCAAGTTGATCTGGACGATAACCTCCGAGTTTAGAGATGCGTTAAAATAGGCAAGCTTCTTAGTTGATCATTCTTGATACATGGGAGCTGTCGCTCGCTAATGTGACCATGCTAGCTAGAAGCAACTACAGCGGCCTGGAGCTGGCGGGCGCATCGAGTCTAGGGCTCTACGTGGTGGCGAGGCAGACATACGAACTTATCATTTAACACTGAGACAGGAGAATGGAAGGTAATCGGATTTTGAGAAGATGTACCTGTAGAGTAGTACGCGGACTTGGAGGAGACGGGTCATCTGTTCGTTAATTTACCTCTCCTCACTAGCACCCGCTATGACACTAACTCAATCAAATCAAACATGTAAAAACGTAAAATGTGATCAGCCCTAGAACTTCTCAACGTAGGGCCTGATGTCAATCTCCTGGGTAAAGGCAGAGCGGTGCTGGGCATGGAGCTGCCAGTACGTCTCAGCAATCTGGTCGAGAATGTTAGCGAACCGTTTGGAAAGTTATCTAATTGAGAAGAAGCAAATGATCACTTACGGCGTCAGGCTGGATCTTCCCATCTTCAGCCCCATTGTTGACATTATACTCACGCGTCCGTGGGATATCGATGACACCGTCGATGATAGCGTGAGCCACATGGACGCCGCGAGGCCCGAATTCACGCGCCAGAGACTGCCCGAGAGCGCGGAGGGCGAACTTGCCCGCGGCAAAGGATCCAAAGTATGCCGATCCCCTGACTGAGGCAGTCGCGCCCGTGATGATCAGTGAGGGAGGGTTGGGCGAGTCAGCCACCGAGTCCAGGAGGAGCGGCAGAGTCTGCTGTGCAAAGTGGAAGAATGACTTTCTGTTGGCATGTCAGTACGCGGCATACAGCAGAGCTGCGAGGATGGATATCATTTTCAGACGTACACAGTACCATCGACAGCGCTGTCCAGCTCACCGGCGGCGAGCTCCAGAAAGGGCTTCCGCGAGAATCCTCCACTGAGATTGAAGATGGCTGCTGCCAGCCTGCTCCCCGGGAGCTGCTCTTTGATGGTCTCGAATGCCTTCTTCAGCGACGCAGGATCATTGACATCTGCTGTCAACCCAATGGCTTGGCCACCGCTGCTCTTGATCTCCGCCACGACGTCCTGGTAACTCTCTGGTTTGCGGGAAAGCAGCACAACGGGATACGCCTTTGCGAATCTGACGGCAACGGAACGTCCTGTCCCAGCTCCGACACCAGCGACGACTGCGAAGAACGACTTTGACGCCATGTTGAGGATATAAGTGGTGGGCAGGTTGTTAAAGCACAATAGGTAGAGTGTCACAATAAGATGGCTAATTGGGCTGGGAGAGATTGATTGATTGTACACTGTTCACAAGTTACTCGCAGGATATACTCTCTGGAATTTAAATACGCCCATGTCACTATGATCTAATTCGCTTCGCGGATGACGCCGGCCACGTTCTATCCGGAGGCTTACCAATCCATAGCTCGCGTTATTAATCGATGCGGGGTGATTATGAGCACGACACCGACCAACGAAGTGAGGCAAACCACCCAAAGCAACGAGCTGCTGGGCAATGAACGCATGAAGGAGGTCTCATCCGCGTAGGTTGTGGGTAGAAAGGCACAACTAGGCACGTAAGGACTAGGCCAGACACGATGCAAGTCACCCATCTACTCCATCCTGGCCCATCGCTGCCGGAGGCGGGCTGGGACCAGAATTGACTAATAAATCAATCTCGGTATGAACTTCCGATACATACGACTCTGTCTCATTGCGACAGTTATCACATGGGAATGTGGAAGCAGTATGATGTTCTCTCGACCGGTCGCTTGATAGAGTGGGCAAACAATTGTTGAGAGACTATGCGCAGCTCGAACGATCGGGGACAGCGAAGGGGGATGGGGCTCGATTTTAATAGATCGACGAGATGACCCGCGGCATATTGCGGTCGTTCAAATGGGGGATTCGGAGGAATAATCGGTTGATATTGCGACGGGTCACGTTCGGTCGTTTCGGTGCCAGTGGACAGGCTGGCCTACGTTCATGAAGACGTGTTTCGAGCATCATCGGGAGCGAGTTGGTGTCGAGAGGTTAGTCACAAACTACAATAGTTAGACATTGCCCAAACGAGTCCCAGCTCTCGTCAGGAATCACATGTATGCTCGGATGGCAGCAGCAGGAGGAGCGGTGGCGCGGATAGCGTAGTCCCGACAATCCCTCGTAGTTCTTATGGATCGTCCGCAAGGGCGCTTCGGCACGTTTGTAGATGACAGCACAGAGTTTATTGGAGGCTCGAATTCGGGTCAATCGGGGGATCACAGGGCTTGTCGCTAGGAGTCACGGTTTGAGGGAGGGCGGTCCTTGGCAACGACGAGCCGATGGATGGGGGTGGGTCGATTTGTAACCTGATTGAAAGGTCTGTCGCAGCTTTCTGAGCCAAGAATTGACTTAAATTCGAAACGGAACACACGTTCTCCGTCCGTGGCGTGTTGGCTCGCAAGACAATGCGGTTGTAGGACTCTTCGAGCACGAAAACAACAAACATCTTAAAGCTTGGCGACCCGCAGCAGCACGCTGATTAGTGGATGATGCGCTATAGGGTAGCTAAAAAAGCTTCCGGGGAGAGAATCTTAGGTACGAATCAGGTAGACTTACAGACTGCTTCTTGAGAATTTGATTTAAAGCCAACAACAATTTTATTGCCATTTATTTAATATCAAGTGCCTCTCGGGGTAGAGGTAGCCTGCCCAAGTATTATCGCTCTCTCATTTAAAGTGCAGCTATGCCCGTTGATCTAGGATCAAAGAACTTGGAGTTGGGCTATAGGGTAGCTTGAAAGAAATGACCTTTGAACAAATTTGAGGAGCATCGCCCGAAGGGCACGGTGAGGGGAGGGCAAAATTCTCGTCCATAATCCAATTTGCTCCTGTTGGGTGGTCACTGCCCCATACAGTACGCTTGCTGATTGGTTTAGCACATCTTCGTTTGTAACATGTTACTGCCGTACCATGTCACGGCTCTATCAGAAGTCGCCCATCCCGATTTACACGAAGACTAAAGTCACCGGGTGTGAAGTTTTGACCGGGTAGAACTGCGTGTTACGGTAATCTTGACTGAGACATTGGGCTCGCAAATGAGGAGACGGCGTCACTATTATATGAGGCACATGATCAGCTACCTTGAGTTTCACCGTCGCTAGAAAGTTTCATCGGTGAATGCTCCTTTTTTGGTATAAATGGAATCCCTTTTGTTCCCATCCTGGTTGATTCAAGCGATGGTGCTTTAGAAACGCTGTTGCCCTTCGACTCCTCCAAGGTGGCATTTGGGATTTTACAGCTTCAATTAGAGCAGGTGACCTGTTGCTGGGACTTTTGCTAAGACATTGGAAAGCCATCGAGCGGAGTCCGTCAGCTTGTGGCGTTGCTCAGCTGTAATAGATACAGCCCTCGGGGACCATGTAGTTGTTGTGCTCAGTGGCGTTCATAGCCATTGGATAGGAGTTGCGTTCTAATACTTGGATCTGCATGATTATCTTGTAGCAAATTAAGTCTCAGTACGGAAGAGACTCGGGTCCCGGAGTAATTAACCTTTTTGATCAAGTAGTGGTGACGTCTTTGTAAGCACCGGGGCGTGTTGCTCGGCGGCGTGCCGTGCATTGGCGTGGATTAAATTTGATGCCGGAAGTACTCATCAGCAAGCACCGATAGTGGGAAAGGCTCAGAGTACATAAGTAGTTGAACAGCCAGATCCAAGTTCCATACTGCCAGCTGCTTTGAGCTACATACCCTCACATAGATTGCAATTACCAACACCTTGCCAGTCACTATGGATCCCCAAGAACTAAGAATCAACCTGTCCTATCGCTCCGAGTATATCTCGGAGCGTGCTAGTGTGGTTGAAAGAGAAACAAGAAAGATGGAGATGTGGAATGTGCTCTCCAACATCTGGGAACCGAAAGACAACCCACATGGAATCGTCAACCTCGGCATGGCGCAAAACTGGCTTCTGCGAAATAGTGTCTCGCAACGTATTCGCGACAGCTTTGACCCTCCATCAAGTGCGCTTACATATACCGAGGGGACCACAGGTTCAAAGCGGCTGAAGGATGCAATGTCCAGATTCATCAATCACCACTTCTTTCCTTTCAAGCAGGTTCTGCCGGAGCATGTCTCCGTGACAAATGGAACGACTTCAGCCCTCGAACATATTTCGTGGGCTCTTGCAGATCCTGGGGAATATTTCCTCGTTGGCCGGCCATACTACATGAATTTCGTCCCAAATCTCACTTGGCGATTTGGCGCCCGCCTCCTCACCGTTCTTTTCGAGAAGGATGATGACAGGTTCAGTGAAGTCGCCGTGGAGAGGTACCAGCAAGCCCTTGACAACGCAAAAGCCCAAGGGAAGAAGGTTGCTGGGATTATTCTCTGCCACCCTCACAATCCTCTTGGGAGATGCTATCCTCGCAAGGTGCTCATCGGTCTGATGAAGGTGGCACAGGAGCACCGCGTCCATCTAATTTCTGACGAGGTATATGCCCTGTCCACCTGGGAAAATACTATCGACAAGGAATGTACCCCTGACGACTTTCACTCTCTGCTGTCGATTGATCCCAAGGGCATCATCGATGGCCATCGGGTGCACGTTGTATGGGGCATGTCCAAGGATTTTGCTGCTAAAGGCTTACGAGTTGGAGCCTTGATTTCCCAGTACAACAGTCACCTCCACAAATCTCTCGTCGAGACCGGAATCTTCACCATGATCTCCTCGTTTTCGGACCATATTGCCATTAACCTCCTGGAGGATGAAGAATGGCTCCAGTGGTACATCCCAGAGCACCAGAGACGGCTCTCGCAGAATTACACAAAGATTGCTAGATGGGCCCAGAACCATGGCATTAACTACGCAAAAGGCGCCAATGCTGGTCTTTTCATGTTTGCTGATTTGGGCACTAAATACCGAGAGACACACGATGTGTCTCGAACGCAGAATATTACCCTATTGGTCCAGCGTGTTTTGAAACAGAATAACGTGTTCCTTTCCTCGGGGGACGATTTTGGTTGCGAGAAACGGGGTTGGTTTAGAATTGTCTTCTGTGTTCCAGATTACTGTCTTTTTGAAGGACTTGGGCGTATTATCAAGGCCCTAACATTGTGTTGAGTTGTCGGGCTCTGGCAGCTTCCATTGCTGTTGAACTTTATTCTCTTTCTCTTACGTATCAAGGCCCTAAACTAAGCCCAGAAGAAAACCCAGAGGAATAATGTTTGTAAGGTTTTCCAGCTCTTTGAACAATTAAAGGAAGACTTCATGTAGAAGATTGGCAAATAGTTCTTTCGGAGACCGCTGAATCTCTTTGGATCCATGTAGCCCCTTGATAACTATTGAGCAAACGATTAAGCATATTTGAAGGTTAAGTCCAAAGGGTCTAAGTGTATCCAATAGTAGATGCTTCATCTGATCTATATGTAGTCTACATATCAAATGTGATGCCATCTATCCAATCTCTAGACACTGCTTTACAAACGTGTCATGCATTGACCCTCTAAGCGCGGTACCGCGCCCACATGCTCTCAGCACGGGCGATCTGTCCTGCGGTAAACTCCTCATAGCAAGCACTAAAAAGTTCCATGTTAGCAGGTGTCCTAATATGTGGTTCTGTGAAGAAAGCATGTCTACTTACTCGTCAGAGTAGTCCATGTAGTTGTGGATTGGGTCCAGACCGGGGTCGTTGGGGCAGGAGTCGCGGCCAACGGGACATCCTGATGAAGCACTGGCTTGGGCTGGAGTGTCATCGACTTCGTCACCAACGTTGCAGCCGTCCTCGAAGGTGTGAATCAGCCCGAACCAGTGTCCAGCTTCGTGGGTTGCTGTCTTGCCCAAGTCATATGGTGCAGCCGATCCGCCGGGGACGGTGGTGGATAGGATGGAGCAGCCATCCGTGTAAAACGCAGTTGAGCCAGTTGTGGCTGTGGTGGGATAGTAACAGTATCCAAGGTAGCCACTGAGGTAGTCAAGGAAGTAGAAGTTGAGTGCCTGGTAGGAACCTTGACGGAGAGCGCGCTTCATAGTCAGCTCATTCCTGTCCTGGGACCAAGCCGAGTTCACTGTCTTGCTGCTGCCCGCGTAGTTGAGAGTGATGCCGTACGGGGAAAAGTTGTCATACAGAACGTCAAATTGGGCTTGGAGAGTAGCATCCTATCCTTGTTAGCACGACATCTTCTTCTTTCAGTTCGAGCTTCTGGGGAACGTACTGATAAGAGGTTGGCCGTCGAACCAGAGACTGTGTGCAAGTAGACATCGACTGACAAGGCAGCCGACGTAGCGAGACCGGATAGCCGAGCCGAGGCCTCTTTCACAGAAAACTCTCGAGAAGTTTCGACGAACTCAGCGGAGGGCGGCGCAGCACCACAGCGGGTGACGCCCTCCTCGCGTGCGGAGAGAGAGTGGCCAAGAGCCGCTCCGGCAAAGAGCAGAGCAGACTTGATAGAATACATGATGAGATGCGTTGACCTATACTGTAAGTCTTATTGGCCTGAATAGAACTTGAGTTGATAGATTGTTTGTCTAACGGAACTCTCTGCTTTTATATCTGTTAACTCCAATATCACAGTGGTGACTCGCCTCACTCGTGCATACGCTCTATGTACTTTTGATTATATCGCTACTACCTTCTCCCTTCTTCCATGCCAAGAACTTTCTCTATCTCGAGCTGTGAGGCGGTCACGTTTTGGTAATCACCGTTCCAACTCCCCCGCACCAACTCAAGAGAGAAGGTGCAGATTGCCCTTGTAAATCCCTCGTGAACATGATCTGGAGTTTGCGCCGTTCTCTCCTCTTGATAAGCTAACGACAAGTTAGATAGAAGTAGCTGCAACCTTAATCCAATGTGCTGGTTATACAAGAGAACGGAAGTTGAAGTATGATAAGTTGAGCAAGACTCTGATGATGCTAAGACTCGCCACCTAGGAATGAGCCGCGAATTTCATAGTCTTGGTTCATAGGAGATTTCTCTGAATTCAAGAATTCTTTCGTGCTGATAAGTGATAAGAGGACTTTTGTAATCGAACTTCCTTTTTGAGGTCGGTAGCTCGCATCCTATACTGAGATATGGTTTCAGGATCGACATGTGTAGGTACTAATCAGGTAGCTCTAGGCTAAATCCTGATTAGAGTCGCTCCTCCACATTCAAGGGCCCCGGATTTTTTGTATGATCGTGTCCAGGATTTAAGCTTGTAGGGGCTGTATAGAGGTGACTCTTTGTAGAGTCACAGATGCAGTCCTGCATCAGCAAGGCGTATGCCCACCAATAAGAGGTATATTTGCAAGCGGTCCAATCTGATCCATCAATACACCCTAGCTGATAGGCTCGTCTACCAGGGATTGTAGGGAGTCAAGTTGGCAGAGGGAAGGGAAATATACCACTGACATGGATATCCCGAGTCTCATCATGGCCAGGAGGAAGAACTTGGAAAATGTCTTCCGTATTGATCATACCAAATTGTACGATAACAGTCTCCCCCCATATCGTTCGCGCACCTGTGCCTCAGTACTTAGACCGTTGACAGGGTATTTGAGGGGAAGGTTGCATCACAGGGCTTTACAAGGCAATCCGCCGAGCGTAGCAATCTCGCCTGCCATATTTTGAGGGTCTTATCGTATCGTCGCAACGCCAAGGCCACGCTCCCTCCTGCGACATCCGGACCCGGACGAGCGGCGCGTACGCTGTCTTATCGAGCGGGGTTGGGATGAAGCCACCGATCTGTAAGCAGTCGTCTTAGTCGCAGTGCGACTCTGATATTGATACACACGAGAGAATTTCTTGACATTGTCGAGACCATATGCGATGATGGATCTTTTGGAGAATCATATGATACACCAGAGAATCATGCTCTATGAAGGAGGTCAGTTGTGCTTGTGAAGTCTGGCGAAAGAGATCATACTTGACAGCCTCGTAAAGTTCGCCCGATAACACTTCGTCGTACTATTACCCGTCTTCAGACAAAGTGTTATTCATTGCTGTTGAACCTACTCGGCATGTCCATAGGTTGGCTGGGGCTGGTATCAAAACCCTGTGACCCGCTTGCGTCTTGTCAGCCTTGGTTGCTCATTTGTTTTCTCTACCTTTCATTATTGTGATTGCGATTGTGAGCCGTATTGGAAACGAAGGTATTGTATGAGACTTATTTAAAGTTTTGTATGATGGAGGTGAGACAACGAGAAGTGATGGGCTGGAGCGAATTATAACACTTATGATGCGAACCCTGATGGTCTGGTTGCGACATTACTCCACAAACTAAATATGATCTTGGCAGTGTAGATCAGGCAGGAACAAAGTAACGTGTGAACCTTACTTGATGGATAATTTTGGACCGAGACTCCATGTGACTGGGCCAGATATGTCTTGTTCTAAAACAGATCCGGCGGCGAGATGGACTGGTTTTATGTGTTGCATACGCTAGCTCAGCCTGTTCAGGTATCCTTGCCTTGGAAAAAGTCTGGACATTTGAGGTCAATGAGTAAATACCCTTGGCTGTTCGGCTGGCTTCATTCCGGAACAATGCTGGACACAATGCTGATCAGTTACCTTGAGCGGATTTCTTCATACCGCCCATCTTCCTTCCACCAGATTTTCCCGGCACCTTCATACAGATATCGTCATTGTCACCAACAGAGTTCTCCTCTCGCGAAGATTTCTTGCCTTCAGCAGTTTCTCCATCCTTGTTGTTTTTATATATTGGACTATACGTGATAGTATTACCCTTAGCCGACAATCAATAAACTACATTGGCTCTATATTTTTTTCCCCGGCCCACCTTGCGGGAAGATATTCGATAAGGCTTGGGGTTTAAGCGAGTGAGTCGCGGTAAGGTTGTCGACAAAAGCTATGTTAGCAGCCAAGCTTTGGAGGGAGAATCCTACTTTCCAAATATGGCAACCTCGGCTTCCAACTCAAGTCCAAGCTCGACCTGTACTCACACCTTTAGTTGAAGTCGGGAGAAGAATGCTACACATGCGCTTCCTCGATTGGCTCGCAATTGGGCTATTGCCAGCCAAGTTTCTCTATTCTTGTCTCTTTCACGAATGGCACTGTCGGCTGCTTGCATTCGGTGCACACGCTCATTGATTCATATTCTGGGTTGAAAACTGAATTTGATAGTTTTTTTAAGGTTCTACTTGGTTTAAGTATAGACTTATTGGCAATGAAGGAAATTGGTTATGATGCTAGTAACCCGCATCCTGATCTCGGGATTTCCTTAATACATGAAAGAGAAGACCAACGAATATCGTTGAGACTCAGTAACTCAGCCCCGAACTCAGCCTCTAACTCTCACTTTACCTACGGAAACCGGGGGAAAATTGCTATACAGAACGTCAAATTGGGCTTGGAGAGTAGCATCCTATCCTTGTTAGAACGCCATATTCTTCATTTAGTTCGAGCCTTCTGAGAACGTAAACATCTGAGCGCTGTATTTAACAGTATCATTTGAGTAAACACGCGGTGGATGCATATGTCTACGTCAAGAAGCGGCTTTCCAACTCATCCTTGATCTTTACAGCACGCAAGTTTATGACAGCAAGTCTCCTCTTGTAGAATTTTAAAGGTTTTCCGTACGTAACGCTGGAACTACCCTGATATTCACCACGCAACATATGGGTGCGTGGCCATTACGAAATCTACTGCCAACCGTCATGATTTTGCAGTCTTTCTGAACCCTTTCATGGCAGTCATAAATATTTGTAGTCACCATATGAATCTATATGCCTGATAACCTTGTAGAAAGGGGTACATGGTAAAAACCTTTTGGTCGTGGAAACTTGAACTTCTCGTAGTATGAACATCCAACATATATCACTCCCAGCCCACATTGAATTTGATTGGCCTTGCTCATGTGCAAGCCCTTGCAAAATTCATCCCTTATTCGTTACAGTGGTAATAGCAGTGGCGGTAGCTGAATCATAATTAGCGGCGTTATTCTTCAACCGGGGGGGGATTTTTATTACCAAGCCTCGATAGGATAGTTGAGGGCGATCGAGCAGTATGAGTATGCCTTCGCACATGTATCCCAAGCGTCGAGATTCTTGCAGACAAAGATTGCCGGATCAGGTCTGATCCAGGTGACATCCTCCCTTTCCTGAAGAACAGGCGAGGCCGCAACGACAGCGCTCAGAGTGTAGAGAATAGCGGCCTTGAAAAGCATCTTGAGTATGGTGATCTCAAACAAAATCGGGGATATGGAAATCGAAAGTGAAAGCCGTTGAATATGTAAGGTCCAGAATGCCGAGTGAGATTGCTTGTCCTGTTAGTGAGTGATCTAAAGTCTCTGGAATCCGGGGGAGCTGATGGATTTTATAGATTTCTTTTTTTCAACAACAAGGCAACCTCATCCGGAAGGAAGCAGGAATCGGCTACTATATTTCAAACGCATAGGCTCCCTAGTTGTACTGTCGGTGATTGCCATTTTGGGTAGGAATCTTTGTATGATGATCCCGGCGAGCATCAGATAGCAATTGCACAGATCATTTATTTCCCGGCCAGAAAGCTCTCAAAATAATTTCTATATGGAAAAGGGCTTAGTTGCAATGTTCATGGCCTACAAGCAAGCAAGCTCAAGATTGTAGTTAATCTTGCTGTGCCAGTCAAGGTCTTACCCCTTCAGGGTGAGTCCGCCTTCTTTCCCATGACTCATGCATTGATAATCTCACCTATCCAGGGTCGGAAATAGGAAATGCCAGAAGCATCAAATACCGGTATCGCGAATAGCACCAAAACGGGTTAATAACCCAGCTCCATCAAGCAATTTGGCACGAAAAGCGGCGGGTCCTTGACCAACACCTTCTCTTCCTAGCATAATACCAGGAAATCGTATCATGGCAACTCATTGAAGTATGTATTTCAATGCGTTTCATTCTTCAACTCTCCATGAATAATAGCCCTCTTCATGCCCCAGATGAGAATGACGGTGAGGGGGCGGTTTCATGACGATTGGTGGTTTTGCATGATTCCGAAATCCGCCACGCTACATTGACGTGGCAAAACGATCCAGGGGTTCGGCCGTGGAGTTGCCGACTTATCGTTGGTTCACATTGATTTGGTGTTCTCCGACTGTATTTAAGATAAATATTACACCCTTCAGATAAGTTTTGACGGGCAATCTCGTACTTATTTAGGTAACAGCAACACGGAATCCTGCTCGACAGGAGCCAGCTCGGAAGTTGTTTCTTCGGCCGCAATCGACCTCCCAATATTTCCCATCTCTATACTCTCAGTCCTGGAATCTTGGTAGAGCGCCTCCTGGCATCCTTTGCAAAAGTCAACCTGGGGTCCCTGTCTTAATAACAGAGTTGCAGCAATCGTATTTAACAGCTTCCAGGCTCCGCCAAGGAAGACGAGATTTGCCAATATCAAAGATACCAGCATGGTTCCTATGCTTTTCTGTACCGGGATCGAGCACATATATTGAGCGACAACAGTGGCGCTCCGGCAGGTAAGTTCGCCCATATCTGGAGAGATCTTATCATAAGCCTCGCTCAACACGATATCCGCGACCGCTTTCGACTTGGGAGTCTGAAGGAGAACCGCACGAATGGGATCGTGCATATCTTTAGCTTCGTTGTAGAGAATTCCACCTTTATCCCTGTTCTTATTTTTAGGGTCTAAAATAGCATACTTGAGACCCTCGTCGTCCAGGAGAATATTGGGTTGTTGGCAATTGCCCAAGTCTGATGAGACGAGAGACTGGACTATCCTAGCATGGTGACGGCCTTCTGTTTGCATGCCAAATAGTGGCCGCTAGGAAAATTGTCCATTGATCAGCAATCAGCCTTTTACTGGGACGTTGGGTCGGAGAGAGTAGAGAGAGGAATCCACTTACATCAACAGCGACATTGTTAAGGACCCCGCCATTAGATGTGACAATGGAATAGCTCAAAGAAAAAAAGTCGTCGGATTTGATGCTTGGGAAGATTAACAGAACGCTCCATGAAGGATTTGAATCAGACATAAGGGTGGAAACGCACTCGTTTATCGATGTGTTGCGACTGTAGTATACGTTTCCATACTCGGGATAACCAAAATTAGATATCTCGTTGTATTCATCAACCTGAGAAATCACTATCATGATACCCCAGTGGTAAATACTGGCCAATTGAGCTCCCCACCATGCTATAGCATGAGTTTTGTAGTTGGTGTTAATAGGACTATAACTCTCCGTTTTCAGTTTAAGCTGGATAGTTCCGCTCTCAGAAGTATAAGTGCAGATCGCATTAGCAGCCCTTCTGGAGTCTACCCATGACATCCACCAGCTTGGTGGCGACTTGGAATCAACTTTCCGGAGGTTGATTTCTGATCTAGACACATAACAGTCCTGGAGTGTATTGTTATGGTATGGAACGGATACTAGTGGACTGCCATCGCTCTTCTGCGTGATCGATTCGATCTCGTATTGAAGGCCTTGATTTGTAGTAAAGAATTTGTCGCCAACGGAAAGGATATTTGGCTGGCACCTGGCGGCAAAGTTCTTGTCCCAGTTGAAGGGTGGCTTTAAAAACCACCTGTAGCCGTTCATTAGTACCTACTTTTACTCGCATCTTACAACAGGATGAGTTGAACTGACTGGTTCGCAGAAGCCACTGTCCCATTTGGATCTTCAGTATATATGGTCTTTAAATAGTATCCACTGGCGGAAAGATTCGCCAGTGAGACGAGAACAACCAGTATGATGGCTCCAACAATCGTCACTGGGGCGAACCATCGGAAAGGATACGGCTTTGAGATTGGATAAGTAAACCATGATTGATACATTTCGTAGAAGGACCACGGCTAGATGAGGGTGATGCTTAGGGCTGGGGGAGAATGAGGTCTGGTGGTTGGCGGCCAGGCAGCTGTAAATATGTACAATAAGCGGTGGCCTGGAGACTCTGGGGCAATCAATGCGCACCACGAACAATATCCTGCCTCTGCAGGCACTGCCTCACTAGACCTGCAGATTATTGTAGTTGTGGTGGCTTAGTGCAGCTTCGGCTGTTTATTGCATTGGTGGTGGCTATGTATGCAGCAAATGCTCCATTCAATCAACCCAAAGAATTGGATGGGGTACGGAGAGGTTGACATTGATATATACAAGTCTACCAATAGTACTTTGAATAACGATGGGCCCTGGCTGACAGAAACATGTCCCTAGGTCTATAAATTGTTCGGCGAGATGACCAAAGTTCCAAGTTACATGAGGCCACGCTGCAAACTTCCTGATAGAGCCTCACGCCGCCCCTTATTCCAAATGTTACCCGCCGGTGCCAGCTACTATCGTACAATATCTCTATTGCCTCAAGTAGACGCGAAGATTGACCTTACAATCTCTCCTTTTCCTTCTCCACACCGGTATCCTTGTACCCAAATAGATAGCCGGCGACCCTTCTCATCTGAATTTCTTCACTCCCTTCAGTGATTCTATATCGCCTAAAGTGCCGCCAAATATGCTCAAACGGCTGATGCCTGCTATAGCCGTTGCCACCGTGGACCTGGATGGCATTGTCAGCAGCTTGCGTGGCCAGTCGGTTTGCATAATAGTTGCACATCCCGATCTTGTGCCCCAACTGCTTCTCAATAGCAATCCATGGAGGAGTCTTCGTGTTGCCTCTGTATTGCTGCTGCACTTGGTCCATCTCGGTAGCGGTTCGGAAGATCAGCAAACGCACTATCGCATCATCAAGCAATATATCAGTTCCATGAATCCAAATAGATTTATACATTGAAAAAGAAACGGCGACCACTTACACATCTCCACCTGAGTCGACAGCTCCACCAAGGGCCACTGAATGGCTTGGTTGGACGCCAGAGGCTTTCCAAACACAATGCGGCCTCGAGCATACGCAACGGAGCGATCAATACAGAACTTGGCGGCACCGCACGAACTAGCAGCCTGACGGATGCGATTCTCGTGCGTGAAGGTCTGGGCCACGGCAAGCCCGTTATCGAAGGGGCCAAATACTGCAGTCGCCGGAACGCGTACATCATCCAACAAAAGGGTTGCATGGTCGGTAGGCATGTTGAGGGTGTACTGGTACGAGTTTATTTCCAGTCCAGGGGTGCCCTTGGGTACTAGGAAAGCAGTGAGGCCTTTGGCTGAGCCTGGCTGCCCTGAAGTACGTGCGAAGATGAGGAAGTGAGTCGCTGAGTGCGCACCTGTCTGCCACTTTTTGTTTCCGCTGATGCTGTATCCCGGTGATCCATCTGCAAGCGTGATTCTAATGGGGTGTTAGCATCCCTTCTTTTGGGTTTCACACAATGCTTGCTGTTTTTAATTCCCGGGGGGGGTAAAAGAAAAGTACTGACGGGGTTGCCTTTGTATCCATGTGAGTGGCATCACTGCCGTGGTGTATCTCAGTTAAACCAAAAGTCATGACTACAACCGAGATGAGATATCAGATACGGATAACCAAATAGACAATAATGGGGCTTACCAAAGCGGCCCTCCAAGCGAGCAGGAATAAACTCATTCCTTTGCTGCTCATTTCCCCAATGGTAGAGCATGAGAAAATCCGGAAAGTTACCAACGACACTGTGCTCGTTCTGCAGGTCATTGGCCAGACTGACACCTCCCCCATAGTCCGGATGAGATGCCATATGATAGCGGAGAGCGCACATCCACATGTTGGAGCATTCCTGTCCGCCGTATTGCTTGGGCAAGGGCAGGCGATAGAAGCCGGCGTCATCGGCCAGCTTGCGAGCACGGCCCAGGAGAGCCTCCCATTCGGGGGTGGGCAGGCCGTTATTGTCCCATTGTGTTCTTGAAGGCTCTCTCCGGTGGTCGAAAAATTGGATATTCTCCTGCTGGATTGGGAGGATTTCTGACTTGATAAAGGTGTCGAGCTTGGATATGCAGTCCTGAAGGTCTTGAGGGAGATCGAAATTCATTCTGGCGTTGTTTTCACTCGAAACTATGATATTATTCCCAGATTGCAAGGAAGAAATAAGGACAATTGTTTGTTATTTTTTTGCCTTGTTTCTATTCATATGCTTGCTCCTAGATTTAACGTACGATCGATGATGGCAGGCCATTTTGCGGAGAGCGGGGACTCCGACGTTGCCTCGGCATTTCTCCCTCGGCTTCCATCTTACTCAACAACCCTTATTAAAGGTGTGATAAGCTGCCAATAGACTATTATGAATATTTATTATTTTCATTGGAGCAGTCCGTGCTCGAAATCATGTAGTATTGACCTTCTCTCTTAGCAGCTCGGCATGCGGAAGCGTCGAAAGATTCATCTAGTATGCATAACGGTAACCGGGTCGCTCTTTGCCACCGCTCATGTGCACAATCTCGCCCTTGTCAAGCTTCTTGTTCAGCCTCCGGAAGTGCTCCCTCAGGCCCAAACAGATGATCATGAACGCTGCCTGGAAGCAGGCAACAGTGATCAAAGCGGGCTTATAGACAGGGGCATCCTGCGCTCGGAAGACAGCCGAGCTAATGATTCCTGCTAGGTTCTGTGCCATGAAGTTCAGTCCCAGGCGGAAGGCCCTTCCAGTGGTCGTCGTTGTGTTAGATGCAACCCAAATGGGGACTAAGATGCCCGGTGTAAATGTTCCAAACGTGATAAGGTATGTCAGGAAATATCCAACCTCGACATGCTTTACGAGATCCAAGGTGGCGAGCAAAATCCACGCGAGGAATGAGACAAATAGTGTTCCAACGGCAATGGAGGCACGCTGCTGGAATCGATCTGACAGCCACGTCGTCGTGAGCTGAACAGCGGCCGCAGTCAGATTTGGACCAACAGTGTAGAGATTGGCTTTGGATGGAATAATGGCGATGCGTTTAACAATAGTCTGTTGCAAGCCGTTAGCATTGTCATCCAGTGTGCTCCAGACAGTTGAAATAGACGTACAGGCAAGAAGTTCGAACTACTGGCGACACCAACTCCGTACAATAGCGGCATGAGTGTAAAGACCCAAGTCGTCCAGTCCTTTGTTTCCTTTACGGCATCTTCCCAGCGGAAGCGTTTATCCTCATCGTGAGAGTCCTCCTCCATGCGCTGGCGTGAGAGCGCCTTCTCTTCTTCTGTAAACCATCGCGACTTCTGAATGCTCCGTGGCAGGACAGCAAAGAGCAATAACCCCACTCCTACTGTCAATGCACCCTCTATAAGGAAGAGATACTGCCAACCTCTTAAGACCTTGTCCCACTGGAAGACTGACCAAGCAATAAGACCTGAGATGGCGCCAGCAATGAATCCCATCATACCAAAGACGCTTGTACGGAAACTAAGCTCCCGGCGAGTGTAGAATGAGCTACAATAGAAAATTGCGCAGGGGAAGAAGGCGGCCTCAGCACATCCCATGAGGATTCTGACGGCAAGGATTCCTCCAAAGTTCTTGGTTGCTGCAGCCACCATGGCCATGGCTCCCCAGACTGTCATAATGGAAGGGATGACAATTGATGGGTTGAACCGTTTCGACAACAGTGTAAAGGGAATGTTCATTAGGGCGTAAGGGATGTAGAAGAGGATCAAGAGCAGTGAGAATTGGTTGCCCACTAGACCAAGGTCTGCTTCAAACGTGTCTGTTTTGGCATTACCCAAGTTGGCCCGGTCCAAAGTATGCGTAAGATAAGCCAAAGCTATTCAGTATTGTCAGTCTAGACATTCGCAGGGAAGATTGATTTGATTTGGGAATGTTTACCAAGAGCGGGCATGATTATCAGATCTGTTTTCCAGACCAACCTCCTCTCAACGTCTTTGTTCACCGCAGGAGCATTGCCAGAAGCATCATCCGATGGAGTGGCCGAGACCACATCCTGAACTGCTTGTTTCTCAGTATCTGACATCTTGCACCGAATATTCCTTCGATCGCGTTGAGGAGTATCCAAGATGAATGAAGCAAAAGAATCAAAGGTGAAGGAGGAGAAATGTGAGTCCCATCCTGGCTGACCTTGGCTGAGCGAAGCGTTAAAGTACTCAGCCCGATGCAGTATTACTTCACACTCATCGCCAGGGAAGAGCACCCTGCACCAGTAGAGTGACCCGATTCATCCATGCCCAGACCTTCACCCATGTTCTTCCAAGCTGACAAACTGCCGTTGTTAATCTCCGTATCGTCAGAGAGTTGAGCCCGAGCGTATCCCGAGTCCGCGGTACCGGTCCCACAACGCTTGATACTATCCTGGAGATAAACGTTGGCGTCTTCGGGAATAATTCAGACGAATAGGAGCAGATATGCTAACCCCCAAAGGAGGCTCGCCATTTAACCCTGAAAGCACGACATACACGACATAACGAACTAGTTCACCCGCCTAGACAACCTGACTCGGGGGACAACGAGAGCGGGGAATTTGGGAATCCTGCTTCAAGTCATTCAAGGCATATTCTCACCATGTGTGGACCTCTGCCCATGTGGCAAGCTGAGTTAGTATTGAGATGAGTCCGAACCCGGAGCACGCAATCGCTGGGTTCCATCTGCATAGCAGCACTAGCACAATGGAGTCAACTGGGTTGAAGAGTTGAAGACCAGGGGGTTTACAGAGTGGGCTCCAGGTTCGCACATATCAGGGAGCAGTTGCGTATGACCGTCGTCAATGGCCTCGATTAGTCTTTGTCACCTCCGTACCGGTTTGTTGTCTGCTCAGACGGCACGTATTCCGGTTTGCAGCCATGTCGTCGACTTCTCAAGACAATGGCATACAGCAAGATCAGATTGAGGGAAACCAACAAGAACAGTCGGTTATTATCCATCCTCAGCGACGAAATGGCGGCATTCTAAATAGCTCGTGGGCTCGAGGGTCACTTCTTGCTGCAGGTTTGGCAGTG